GCGGCCGGGACGAGCGCTGCTACAGGCCCAGGCCTGCGAAAAGGCTTTGAAAAACCCCTCCAGCGCTCCTAGCACCATCGAAACTGGAAACAACGGGGCCTACACCGCGGCAGAGAACTGGGAATTAAGTTTAAGGTACTTTGAGGAAAAAGGATAGCTGCCCAGAGAGTTACAGAATCGAGACAGGCAGAGGAAGAAGAGAGTTCCAAGAGAACAGGTTCTGTCAGGGTGTACTTTCCTACCAAACCACCAGGGACAATCTAAGATCCCTCCAATTACACTGCTGTACCCTCCCCACTGATTTTAGAGCAGCGGTTATCTCCCTTGTGTGGTCCCTGATCAACTTTACCCACTAAACCCTGTGCTGTAAATAACATCTCACAAGGTGTAGTGTGGCAAGCGGAGCCGGAATTAAAGCCCAGGGCTCTGTGGGCAGTTTGTTACCTGTAAAACAGAAGTTGAAGACTGCTCTCCCAGGTTTTCCCTCTCTGGATGGATCGATAAACACCACAATTTTGCAGAAAGCCCTTGGGTCTCTGATGGGAGTAGTTCCCAGGTCAGACTTCGTCAGAAGCTCTCCCCTAGAAAGCAAAGTAACACCCATTTATGCTCTGCCCCCTCAGGACGTGTGGATGGGATTTACTGTTCTTACAGAACTGGAAGCAGTTGGTGGTTTGACAGTTGTGCCCTGCCTTTACAGGAAGGCAAGCCCTCCCCAAAATATGAGACTGACCCTGCCTCAAATTGCATGGCTGTCGTCCCAGTTAACACTACAAAACACCCCTCAGCACAACGCTTAAAATTCAAGAGAAGCAAGTTGTGTCAACATCATGTTTTAAAAAGCCACAAATGGAAACACTTGTACTGAAAGTAAGCTGTACTTCTAGTCTTAACTGTGGTTGGGGTCTCAACTGTTCCATTTCTGTCTCCCCAGATTTAACCACGGAACAACAGTGACTATTTCCTCCTGATGCAAAGGTGGCATAATTCCTCCTGATGCAAAGGTGGCATAATTTTTCCACCTCTCTTCCATTGTTTAGCTCAATTATTTAGGGATTGTTATGTAAGACCAAATGATAGGGAACGGAGGAAGAACCACCCAGTCACTGAGAACATGAAGCCCTTCTGCAAGTCCTCTAGGACTTCTCTACTTGAGAGCTTGCCTATTTTTTTCTACAGAAGTCCCTTCCTATCAATTATATCTGTAGTATCTGTCCAACCCTAGATGCATTGTTTACTCCAAGTTTCCTCCATAAAGAAGCTAATGAAGAACTCGTGCAAAACAACTATAAATCATGGTGAGGGGCACAATCACGGTACAAGCATGTATCACAGCCATCAGTAAATGCAGATAACCGAGGGGTATCGAGGCAGCCATGGATACCTAAAGGGATGCACTAAGTCTTGTAGTGTAAGGACTTGAGGCATCTTCAATTGCTTCCAAAGCTAAAATAACCAATACGAGTAGTTCAATACTATTGTAGCAAAAGTGTGTTTGTAATTTCAATTTAACTGTACATTTATGAATGGGAACAGACTCAGTCCTGGGAAAGTTAATGGAAACTTTGTGGTCACTTCAGATATGACCATAGTTTCATCACCTTACCGATACTTAAGCCACAAAGGGTCTAGAGTGATGAAGTCTAAACCTGGAAGGAAACTGCCCAGGAAGTTCTAACCAGTAACAAATTCACCTACTTTCTGTGGAAGCTGAAGAAGTGGAATGAACAATGAAAACTGCTTTTAGTTTTTCTTTCTCAACCAGAGGAAGGTTAGTTCTTCTTAAATTCAGATATCCCTTTGGAAAAAAAAAAACCAAAACCTACTTCAAATTCTTCCTTCTGGTACTAGGCTTATTCCATACTCAGTGACCTCAATGGGATTGCTCAGAAAGTATCACCCAAAACATTAACTCTTTACAGGGTTATGGATTAGTGAATTAAAAAATTTCCAATAGAGAGAGGAAGGAAAAATGACTAAATTATACCAATTCAGAAATTCTATTAGCTCCCACTATATCTTATTAACTTTCTATCAAATTAAGAATTTTGTCAGGGTTAATATCTTAAAGAATATAAACCAGAAATCCAGCAGAATTTCTGATTTTCTATCACATTTAGAAGGAACAATATTTGTTGACTTTCTCTTGCTTTCTCTCTTACCAAGTCCCAAACTCCTAAAGAGGGTTCAGCTTCCCTCTCCTCATTCTCAGAAGGTATCAGCAGTCTACACATTTGACAAACATTTTATAAGTAAGCTCATGTGCTGTAAGTACAGAGGAGTACTAATTTAAGAAAGCAAATCTCAGAAAACGTTTCAAAGAAGCAGCACAAGTGTCCTAGTTCTCAAAAATAGAAACAGCACTGTATGACAGTTTTGACTCCTATAAAGAGACTAAAGCTTTTTCTGCTCATCGTCTCCATAAAAAAAAGCCATGCAGTTTTTAGTTACTCAACTGTTACCTGTTTTAGCTTCACGGTAATGCGATATGCTATTTTGGTAAGCTAATAGAAAGCAGTTATTTTTGCAGTTTTGCCTGATAATGAGGTACAGACACATTCTACCCTCTTTGCACTATGCTCCTCCATCACTCTGATGTCAAATATGACCTCAAGCATCAGTCATCAGTGAGGTTCTAATGAGAACAAACGTGAAGGTTTTAATCCAGTTATCAACCCATTATATTTCTGCAACAAAATACTAGCCCAAAAACTTTATCTTGTGAAAGACAGCCCCACTCACTACTAGGCTGTTTCTTAAAGCTTTGCATGATCCTTCCAAGTCCTAACACCACCTCTGCTGTCTATGGTCCTTGATGTCTGTGAAACACTTGTTTATGCTCAAGAACTCAACCCCTGCTCAGATCATGAGAAGCTCAATGTTCAGTTCAGCAACAGAGAAGACTGAAGCCGGGCTCAAATGCTGTAGCGTTTGTCTCAGCTGCCAAAGCAAACGACACTAATGAATGAGAGCACAGTATGGTCAAAGCAAAACACAAATATACCCCTTTGAGCTCCTCAATATTTCATCCTGGACTATCAGTGTTTGGAACCTACCTCATCCTCCCTTCCACTCCCTAGACCCCTAGCATTGAAGTGTAAGGAAAACATAATACCGTAGCAAGAGCCTGAGATCAGGACACGTGGACAAATTACTGCATGTCATGGCATTTCTGCAGGGCAGCCTGGCCACAACCACTGTCCATCCTTATGCTCTCAGTCCTTCACAAAAGCAAGGTCTAAAAGCATGACAGATCTGTCTACGCAACCTAGCAAAAGCACATATCTCAAATGCATAGGTGCACACACTACTGTAATTAAATTTTTGCTAAATGCCTCCCACAATCATATTCCAGCAAGTAAGGAGCTTTTCTAAGAGACACTGGTGTGCGTATTTCATACCATCAGAATAGAGAAACCTACTACAAGATTGTTCTACTTGAACACTCCAGAACATTCCCAGAGCAACGAATGACACACTTCAAATAAACTTATTTGGCCATTAGGCTGCTACAATGCTAAAAAATGACGACTCCAGTGGTAAAAAGACAGTTTCAAATTTCCAAATCAGTTCTCCTGTTTTAATAGAGTTTTAATGAACAGAAGTCCAAGAGATCACTTGATAGTATGAGGTACATTCCTTGACCACATATGGCTGTGCTTAAGGAAAAGGACATACATATACTTAAATTAAATAGTGTAATTTAATTTAGTAGCAGTTTAATTATCATTAAGTTAAAAAAAAAAGTTATAATTAACTATTAACGTTAATGACTTAAGACCTTTCAGAAAGCATGAATCCAAAAGGAAATATCCAGCAGGTGGTCACAGACTTGTAGTTTTTCCAACAGCACTGCCACCTGCATCAGTCTCTTAAAGGACTATCTGTTCAACGAAGAACTTGATCTACCGTCTGCAACAGAGAGTCTTGGCTCTGCTACTTTGCACGGTCTTCTAACAAGTACACAATCAGCTCATAGGTGGACAACACAATGGCTGTGTTTGGTATCTGCCGGATGAGTTGGGCAAACAGTCCTCTATAGAAGGCGAGATAGCCTTCTTCACGCGCTACCAGACGTGCTGTCTGAATGAAAGTCTTGTATTTAGTGCCCTCTTCTCGCAGCCGTGTCCGTATGACCTCTGCAGAAAAATAAAACAAGAGCCCAAAGTTAACAAGACTTAAACCTTCCCACTGAGAAGCACGCCATTACCAGGAGGGAGCATGCACCACCCAGGGACACGAAAACCTTCCTGTACCAGTTGCCTGCAGTACTTTCAGCCGCGGACCCCTGCATGCATTGCCCTTCATGCAAGAAGCCAAGCTGAAGGTGAGTTTCCTTTCATGTGGAATAAATGTATTTGCTCATTCAAGCTACTACAGAACTAAATGCTTCACTGATGCTCACATCATCAATATTGCTCTTTCTATATAACCAGGACAACATATCTACCCAAAAAAGAGTAACACTGCTCAGCCCACAAGTGTTTCCCACCACTTGATCACAGAATCACAAAGGCTGTGGTTACTCAGCTAGATGAGGCTACTATGAGAACATAAATGTTAGGCATTCAATATTTTTTTTGCATTTTTCAAGTTGTTTTTAAACTAGGACGTCCCAGTCACCAACTATGTGGCTACCTAGGAGTGATGGGACCAGTACTGAAAATAGCAATGCATATGCACATGCCACAGTAACATGCGTTTGACCATTCAAATGAATTTTACAGCCCTGAACCGCACCATTCATCTTGAATTACAGGCAAGAGCTATTCTTCTGCGTTCATAAATGGAAAAGTTAACATACCATGTGGATAAGCAATACAAGAGGCACAGCCCTTGGAAACAGCAGCAGCAAACATCAGTCCAAAGAAGTTTGTCGAGTTCCTTTCAGTCCCATTAGGAGGAGAAGGGGGCAGCTGGACTTCCTTTATGTGCTTTTTTAAACTTTCATAAATAGCAAAGCAGATAATGGTCTCTGAGATCCCAGCATAGGAGGCAGTCAGGCCCCTATAAAAGCCGCGGACACCTTCTGTCTGGTAAACATATCTAGCACACTGCAAAGCATTCATTGGTTTAGAACCCCGGACTCTAAAACACAAACAGAACAGAGCACATAATGAGCCCAGGAAAAGAATATATATTAACAAAAACTCATGGCTTTCAATAGTTCGTAACTACAGAGAAGTTTTACTCCAAAAAACTTCTAAGAAAGCGGCATAGAGCAGGACTGTCAAGGGTACACACATGTTTTGCTAATTCACTGACACACACTCGTAGTAATTCCTTCTGCTTAAGTTCTATCCAGTCTGTCACAGTTCACATCAATGCTTTAAAAGACAAAAACCACTGAAGAGATGCTGCTTTGTGTTAAACTAGTAATTCCATTTAAAGCCATCTTCAACAAGTCAAAATAGAGAGGTCTGCTGTGTGAGAAATGATCCTTCGTTTTGAGAGGCAGTGCTCAGTTCAAAGGTGCCACCCTGTGAAGTGCTGGAATTAAGTCTTATAAATTATTTACAAGTTGTGCTGTCTTAAAGGATCCTTCTTATCTGACCTAACATGTCCTTGCAGAAGGAATTTCCATTCTAAGCAGTCGCATTATTAACCGAGTCCCTCATTGCTTCGATATCCATCAGTGACTGTGAATCACTCAACAGAAAGATATGGCTGTTAAATTCCCTCTGTCTTTGGGAGGTACGGTTAACAGCAAGTCAGTGCTGAAGGAAACAAAGGAACATTAAGCCACTGCAACAGATTCTAACTGACTCTAGAATGTTTGATGAAACTAAACCACCACCCTTTCCATTTACAGCTACCCAGCTGCGTACCAGTACCCTCGGTTTGCTGCAGTACTGCACACGCCTGTACGACCCAGGATCAGAACAAGTGATGTTGGGACACAGGCTGCAACCTCATGCTCAGCCTCCCACGTGAGCTATTCTCACCTTTCCACAGCCTCTATTACTGCTGTATCAAAGCAATTCAGTCCTTGATAGATTTTTATCCTCAACATCAAACCCTGAAGTACAGAAGATTCTACAAACAGGCATCTGAGAGAAATATAATGCTATGTCCGACTTTACTTAACAGTGAACTTTACAGTGAAATCAGAAACTGAACCTAACTTAGTGCTCAACACAACTTCCACATCCTTCCTAAGAGTAACTGTGCATCAAACTGAAGTAGGACACACAGAACCTTAACCTTTAGTCTGACCAGGCAGAAAAATTGTGGCTTAAAAGACGGAATTGAGAGTCAGGGAAACAACCGGACAAGATCTATCAAAGTATCAACAAATCAATCTATCAACAAATAAAACTGTGAAGGTTCAATTTTCCAGAGGCATCCTTAGCCACTCAGCATTATCCAACCTCCCTCAATCAGTTACTTACTTCCGTTCCAGTTGCATTCTGGTTTTCACCATCCATATAGGATTCATCAGGGAATTTGTGATAAAGGCTGAAAAAGAGAAAACCAAAAGTACAGCTGAATCCAGGCCAGTGTATTGCCAGGGCAAACATGAACTTCATACAAGTGCAGTGGGACAGTTCTAGTTACAAGCTCTACCCAGAGGTTTCAAAAGACACACGGCTGCACAGCTTACAATCTCTCTCTTGCCAGAGAAGCCATCTCATGTGAAACTTCAGGAAACGTCAGCCTTGGAATTTCTTAAAGCATTCTTCCCTTTTGCACCTATTTTAATATGTACTTCATGTTCCTGAAGTCTGCTGTAGGCAGGATACCTTACTGACTGGGTTTCGGAATAATAGATAAAATTAGGGAAAACACATGTGTACTAGTCTTTTGTTTTCCCCAAGGCTCTAGGTGGTGCCATTGAGCCATCTCCTCAATAGAATCCACCCATAATTAAGGGATTAGTTTGGGAAAAATTATTTTAATAATCACTCTGGTGGCTGATGCTTGAACTACTAGCGTTCTTCAGTATTCTTCTTACAAGGACAACTATTTTCCCCATCCTGGGAGGAAAAATACAACATCCTAAAACAATATTGCTAAAACAGTACCATAAGTTTGCTGGTGTCTACTATTTTTCTTACATTCAGAGACATTACTACAGCACCGCAGTTTGAAAAAAGTTCATCACAAGTTAGTAATATTTCAAAGTGCTGAACAGGCAAAAAATTTCTCTGCAGACAGGGTAAGTTAGGACCTAGCAAACTCCTGTTTTCTGGCATATACAACCTCAAACTAAGTGCATTTTCAAAATGCGCCACATACTGGCCTCTGTGCAGACAGACCAAAAGCCTAGTCCCCGCCTTATGATTCCTTCTACTTGCTCCCTAACTATTGAGAAGGACAGACATCTCATGGCAACAATAGCTTGGAACAACGACTTGAAAGAAACAAGGTGCATTTCAGAGCCACGAAGACACCAGGGCATGCACTGCTTGCTGTTGGCGAGGGGCTGGCCACCGAGGTGTTGCTGCAGACCATATGGAAGACGAATTCCAAATACATACCTGCAGAACCTGCAGAACAGATGTGCACAATGTTGCTGTTGGGCACAAAAATGCCATTGAATCGCTCTTTGGCTTTGGAGTAGCATGCAAAATAGACAGCTCTGGAGAGGGGGGAAAAAAGGGAATAAAAGCAATGTAATACACACAATGTCAAATTAGACACATTACTAGTCCTCCCCCCAAAAACCAAAACTTCCTCTCCAAAGAGGCCTCCACATGACTACTTCCATCTCCAAAGACACAGGGTTTGTTTTTGGTTTTTTCTCTCCTTCTACTGCAGTGCCACTTTCTGATTTGACACCTGCAGGGTAGAAATATTTTACTTTCACATCAAATTTGAGATGGGAAGCAAGAGGGTCTTGCAGACAAAGCAAGTGAGATTGGGTGCCTACACCAGCTCTGTCACTAAACACACTTTGTAAATTTGGGAACATCACTTTCCCACCTGAGGCCTGTTTTCCATACATTTTTTCAGCACTGTAACTGTGTTAGCAGCACTTCACACCTTCAACACTTAACCCTGGACTGAAATGAAAAAGTTTTACACACCTCAAATCCCTAAATAACACATAGGATTAGAGGAAGCTCAGCTGATCTGCAAAAGACAGTATGAGGGGTTGGTACCTTAATTGTGTCTTTTAGCAGTAGTTTATTTACCTCGATGGTGCAACTCCAACCAGGTTTGGACCCAGCCCTCGGAAGAGTGACCTTGGTCCTTCTTTTTCCAGAATTGACCTTAAAATAAAAACAAACAAGGAAAAAAAAAGATAGTATTTGGGTTAAAAGTTATGCTGCTTGTTCTGTCAGTCGGTCAGGAGAACTGTGCAAAAGCAATGAGTGTTGTGAAGCTGTTACCTTTTAAGCTACATAATATACTTTAAAATTAGCAGAATTATACACTGCGGAATAAAAGCCACTATACCATAAAACTTCAGCGCACTACAGGCACATGTGTGTCATATGGCACAAGGTTATGATTTCCACCCTTCAAAAGCCGTCAGGAATTGAATTGAAGTTTCATGGAGAATCCAGTGATAGTTGACTCTGATGAACAAAGAAAATTTTTAGCATTCTCTGTGAGGAGTTTGTTTCCTGTACAGACACACAGAAGAAATCCTTTTCACTTTCTTAATCTCCTAGTAACGAGTTTTCTCCCCAGAGTGAAAGCTGAATGAGGCAACTGTACTACAAGCTGTGTCTCCCCAGGTAGGGGCACATCTGGCTTTGAGGACATTCCAGAGAGCTCACATCATAGTTCCCAAGTGAACTCCAACTACAGAGGTGCTGCTGTGAATCACTGTCATGACTGGATTTCATGATCAGGCCTAAAGCAGGAGGATCACGAAATTATGCTTTCCTGCAATTCTGGAATTGCTACAGCCCAGATTTCCAAATCAATTTCCACCCACCTTCCCTCACACTTTAGAAGGCACGCTGGGCTCAGACTTCTCTGAAGATGAATTGTTTTGGCAGCTACCAAATTCGGTACATCACCTTGTTGAAGTGCCTCATTAAAAAGACTTATTTTACAAATTCCTTCCCCTACTAATAGCAGGCATGTTTGCACGGACTAAAACAACAGCCAAACACTAGAAAACAGCCAAATATTTACCAGTGAAAGCTATGTACAGTCCATTAATCACTGGGATTTCAGTGCAAAATCTGCTAGACAGCAGCCCTCTTAACTGGACTCACCATGTGAAAACCATTCAAGGAAACCCAGATAACAGCATGGGTAGTTCACATGCAACTGCTGGCACTGCCAATTTTTCAGAATTTGCTTTCTAGGTCATTAACACTGTGGAGAACATTCCCCACAGATTCCAAAACCAACCTCATTAGACAGAAGATAGAGGAGCTTCTGAAACACTTTTTCTGCAGCAGAGTTGAACTTCTCATGAAAACTCCAGGGCTGAGTGTCTCCAAGGAGACAGATCCAGCAACTACTTGTTCTTTGTCACTTAACAGTCACGACTGCGGATTCCAGCTGGGGTGACTCATCAGAATCTTAAATGGATTAGACAAAAACAGCCTCCTTCTGGAATGCTTTCTGTTCAGCAGTAGGCTTAATCTGCCCTTCTGAGTACCTACTTTCTTCTTATTTACAGCAGTTAAGGGCCTTTCATATTCAACACCTTTAACTCTTACTGAGCAATTTTATATATAGGGCTCTAACGGCTGCTGCTTTAGCCATACCATTTTCTCAAAGCAGAAGTCCCAAGTCATATCCAGTTTGGCATGGCCACAATAGACAAAGGGATGGAAAAGCAACTGTAAGAGACCTAACTTCACTTCCATCTTCATACTTTTGTATTTTATCAGAAAGTTCACAACCAACTGCATTATCTTCATAGATGCTGCCTGCAAGAGAATGGCAGCAGAGATAGTTTTTGCACACTTCTCAATCCTCTGAAGTGAGCAGGTCAAAAACTTGGTGATACATGCAGCTAAGGAATTCCTGAAGTGAAATGAAATCAAGATCATAGTCACTAAATTTAAGGAGCTTAATAAACAGTAAATATATTAAAAGGTTGATCCAATGTGAAACCATTTCCTCTCTCCCTAAAAAAAAAAAAAACAACCAAAAACCAAACCAGAAAAAGATGGGCCAAGAGGATGAATCAAGAGCCTTGAAGTTTTCACTTACTTTAGTTAGAGCTGCCTAAGTTCAGTGCTGCAAGGTGAAAAGATAGCAAGGGAAAGATGAAAATCAAAGGCAACTGGCACTACCTTACATTTTCAGTCACGAATTGCTCTAGAGTCACCTCTGAGTAGACAAAGAAGTGTTTGGCAGGGGAAAGAAGCACTGTTTACAATACAGAAACTCAAGTCCCAGAATGACTCTAGCCAGATAGCTCTGCAGAGAATTTGAATTAGCACTGTACTGTTATATAACTGTGCAGCTTCTCTCCAGGCAATCTGCCAAGCATGTTGGCCTTACATAAAATCATTCAACTTGCTTTGCTAGTCCTTATTTTCTTCGGCATTTCTGCTACCTGATCTAAACAGGATCTCTCTGCATCACCCTGGGGTGCCCAATGATCCAAATAAACTCAACCCGTTTGCATGAGGTCTGAACCATAAATTTATGGTAGTTTTGACATGAAATGCTGAATTAGAGATTTTGGACTTTGGAACTGCTGGTAAAACTATTCAGCAGTTGTAAGCCAGATGGTGAAATCCCACCTGGAGCATCATGTCCAGCTCTGGAGTACCTTTCAACACTTAAAGGGGGCCTACAAAAAAGATGGGGACCATCTCTTTAGCAGGGCCTGTAGCAATAAGACAGAGGGTAATGGTTTAAAACTAAAAGAGGGTAGATCTAGACTAGATATAAGGAAGACATTTTTTACAGTAGGGTGGTGAAACACTGGCACAGGTTGCCCAGAGAGGTAGCAGATGTCCCATCACTGGGGACTTGGGTCAGACAAGGCTCTGAGTAACTTGATCTGGTTAAAGATGTGTCTGCTCACCAGAGGGAGGATGCACCAGATGTCTTTTAAAAGTTCCTTCCAACCAAAAACATTCTGTGATTCTGTGTCAGCCCCTAACCTGTCTTTGAAGCTCGTCCAGCTTTGAGCATGAGATGGAACCAGACGACCCGCACCACTAAGTGCAGAGAATGAGAAACCCCGCTATAATGCTGGTCCACATGAAGGAAAGGCTGCAGGCTGAGAGCCTCTAGGCTCTCACGTTTATATGATGCTCCAAACAAGAGAGTGCTTCAAAGGAGGAAGTAAAACTATTCATCAAACAGGTAAATGGCATGGGCAGCAGTGGCAACAAGTACCTCTGGTAGCTACTCAAAGCAAACTGAGAACAGCTCCAGGAAAAACAAAAAGACAGCGTATATAGCTTTTTCAGTCCTTTCATCATTTACCAAGAATTGGCCCCAGCTAGTAAGGATTACCTGTTCCAGTGCTCAAAGGAGACAGTAAACATGACCATTCCCAAGAGGAGACAAAGATAACAGTACTCAGTGTGGAAAAAGAGGAAAAAAGCTCTTTCCCACAGAATACTTTGTGTGATAGTTCCCACAAGCTAAGGCACATCAAGAATTTACAGTATTTCCTATGTATTGATCCCTAGGAAGCCATACCTACCCACAAGCCTAAATGTGAGGAGACAATTTAAAAATAACACCCCCAGACACTTACTTAAATCAACTGTCTTTGGAAAGTTTCTAAGTGGCGGAAGGAAATTTCTGGGGAAGTTCAAAGGAATGCTCAGGAGTCCTGAATATGTACATGTTTTTAAAAGAATAATTTATCTTTCTACCGCTGAAGGCAGAAGCCCAACTGACACGGATCCTTCCAGTGCATGTCTCCAGCACAATTCACATTCCATGTTCACGCAGAGCAACTGAAACTCAGATGGCTGGTGTAAAGCAATACTGAATGGCAAGAAGGAGCAGTACTCACTTGAGAACACTAAGGAGCCCACGCGATACAGATGTTGGCCTGACCATTCCTTCACCACTGATGGTCCCCAGCTGGACTTGTGGGTAGTAGACAGTCCGAAAGGCTAGCTTTGAAGACTGGAGCCTAGTCTTTATTACCTCTAAGGGACATGTGAAGATGGCACCAACTGTTCCTCCGCATCTGTAAAACACAATTTAAACAGAAGACACAGTCAGGAAAACCTAGCTGCACAGGTGTGACAAATCCAAGCACAGCGTATAAATAAAATCAGAAGCCTTGTCTCCAGTTGCTCCTCATTGTGAACAAATTCCTAGGAAGCAGGGCAGTTTTGGTATTAGGCAAGGAAGACCGTTCCCAAGTCCTGGGGGAGGGGACAGAAGGTTGAGAAACTGTTTTAATAATCACGTGCGGCGATGAGATTGGTAAACACAAAGACGATACCCAGCACTAACAAAAAAATCCCTGGCTGACCATCTGCTGGTCCCATGTTCTGCCAGGACTTGGAATTCTGCCTGTAAAAACTTCAGAGGCGTGCGTGTTTCAGAGGTTGTTGTCCTAAAACAGACATACTCTCAGACGGATTTTTCTTATGGGAAGCAGGAAGCTGGCAGATGAGAGTAAGCCACTAGGGATTAAGACACTAGAGACAGAAAGCGTAGCAACATAATTCTTTACCTTTTCAGTACTTATGATTAAGACAGCTGTCTACAGAAGTAGCAAATATCAAAACTACACTACAAAACTACCTCTTAAAAACAATGGATATGAACTTTTCTTTGGGGCGGTGAGGGGAAGAAAGCTGCAAGGATGAGAGAGAAGGTGAGGAAAAAATAACAGGTCAGAAAGGCTGCTGAAGAACAGAATTCCCATATTCTGATAACAGAAGGACAGAAATAACATACTATACACACACGTGTGTATATATGCATACACATACATATGCGTGTGTCTATATATATAAAGAAAAAATAAATGATCCAATAACAGACATATCTTAACGTAGTCAGACCGAGTCTCAGAAAAGGCACACCGGGCCAAGAATACAAGGTGTACAAGTTCTAATTTTCATTTTAACGAATGATCTGGAAAGGGACTGGTCAAAATATTTCTCTCTCTGGTGCTGCTCCTCTTTGGTAAGTAAATTTCCCTTCTGTCAAAATTCACAATTAAACAGAATGCTGAGGTTGGCTAAAAGGTATTACATCTAAATTTCATTAATCAAATATGTCGGGATTTAGGAAGACTTATCTAAAGATTTTTTTTTTTCCCAAGGGCGTTTATTACAACCTATTGATTATGAAATGTTTTCTTTGTTTACACAAGTGTCAAAGCATGTGACTCCTTCAAAACCCCGTGTTTGTGATGTTCCTTAGGAAACACTTCGATTCAACAAACTCTGTCTGCCCTTAATGTGAAATTGTAATTTACATAGTTTTCCATGAAAGGGAGATGAATTTTAGAAACAAGTCCTATCCTTTGTCTTGCGCATAAAAGAAACATTGCTAACTGGAGTCCTAAGAAGCCTGCATGCACTAATTCGGGAACAGAACTCCATAAAAGGACATTGATAAAGGTACTACTGCAAACTTTCTAAAGGCCCTGTCTATATGACCTATTTTACTAGGAGAAACTTTTTATAAACACAAGATAAAGGGGAATCAAAGAGTGGCAGAAAAAATCCAAGCTTTGGATACATACTAGTTTATAAATGCTTTATCTGGTAGTTATTCTGCTTGCTGAAACAGCGTTTCTTACCCCAAACAATAACCATTCTCTGCCAAAACTCTGAAGCTTCTGCACTTGCCTTAACAGCTTTCCTCAGCTACATAAACAGCCACACACTGTGAAAGATTCAGACCATGGATACGCAGTCAGATAAATTTGATTTGGGAAAATCTTATGCTGCTATTAAGGCAAAATCTCCATGTCTTCATACTGGATTGAGTCACGAGATTTTTTTGATAAATCAGCACTGAACTACAGTTCCAGGGATGTTAAGCAGAGTTTACTGCACCAGCTTCCTGCAAAAATCCCAAAGCAATGTCTACATCTGTCCTTAGTCAAAAGACAGAAACATCCCTAGAAACAAAATACTACAGTAGAGTATTTCAACAAGTCACTATGCCCTCAATTTAAAGCAGCTTGATGTCACCAATCTTCCCAAAGTATGCTTCCAACTCACTTACATGTGGCTTAAGCAAGCTTTAGTATCTAAAGTTGCTTTTCAGAGCCATAGGAGCAAGGGAGTTAGGGATCTCAATACCAAGACAGAAAAAAATATCACAAACATGTTTTTATTCAAACAAACAGTACTCCCCCATGTGACCAAGGTACTAAAGAATGTAAGGCGCAGCACCTACATGAAATCAAGATTAAAAACTTATTCTTGGATTTTGCTCTTTGCCAGTTCTACAAAGGGCATCGCAGCCTCTAAACACCACTTCATAAGAAATCCCTGTAGCATTACTCCAGCACTACTCCAACTGGAAAGACAACATGGAGTAACCTCTGCTGCAGCCTAGTCCAGTTCTTCCCTCACAAAAACAAGCAACAACTGCACCGACTTGCAGGGAAGCAAGGACTCAGACTTGTAAACATGCTTACGTCTGCTGTGCAACTTGGGAATCCTTCTCTGCTGCTTCTGAAGCCTTCCTGCCTGCAGAGCCATCTTCCCATCACAACACCAAGACCCTTTTACTGCTGTAAGCCTTGAAAGCAACTAACAGAAACATAGGGCACACAATGAGTCTGCTTGTCTAGAGTAGTCAGTTAATAGGGAGTCATCTTTTTCAACACCTGGACCACACTTTCTAGTATTCAAGGGCATTTCACTACTCAGCCTCTGAAGTATTCAATTCTGGCCACTAAGGTCATCTGAGGCAGCCCTGTCATTTGTGTGCACAGCGAAGGATACTGCATTACATCTTCTTAAGCTGGCACCTCACCCCATCCTCACCCTCACTGCAGGCTATCGTAATACCAGTAACATCTCTATCAACATTATTTCAGGTGAATGGGCTGCTCTTGTGTTATCTGCAAAGAATACTTTACAACTGAACAAAGGTTAGCATCTTACACAAGTTATAAAGTATTCTGAAATTCCAACACCTTCTGCTGCTGGAAGGGTAATTTTACCCAAGGTCTTGGTTCTGCAAATAGCTTTGTATCACAACCCATTTGTTACATCAGGATTCAGTGAAAGAAAGTACAAAGGTAAAGAGAGCTGAAGGCCTGTGGAAGGGCCTCAACTATCACACAAGGACTAACAATTCTTTCTAAAATTCCTTTGATGATGTGAGAGCTAGAGCAAAATATTGTCAGGGCTGAGGTCTTTCCATCAGGTTTCATGAAGTGGGCATCCTTTGCCACTACTACCACCACCAAAACCCGAGACATGCAAGGCAGGCACAGCACAGAGCCTGCCAGCGATCATGACCTGGGTTTCTCTGCAGACTCTGACTGACCACCTCTTTCCTCCCTGCCGTATTTTCATCACTGCTTTAAAAACAGATCGACCTCATCATACCAGAGAGGTCAGAGGGATGTTCCTGCAGCGTGTCTACTCTTTCACACCTCGCTCTTTCAAAACCAGATGAGCTCTGGCAACTTCCTAGGCTTGCGGCAGAAAATGGTCATTTCCTAGGATCCTTAGAGAAGGGAGAGGGTACAATTAAAGAAGTAAGGAAGATGCTGATCACCCAGTACTAGATTGAACCACTGAGGAGTTAAAAATTCCTACTTATTTATAGTCTGATGAGTTATGTGAGGACACCTAGAGTTCTGGACAGGCACTGTTACTATGCAGACAAGTTGCACACGTACATTCAGGTCCAGTTTCTGTCACAAGCTCCAGGTTCTACTCTAATGTAAGTCAGGGAGACAGAGGAAAAGGAGGACTTAAAACAACACACAGTATCATAGTCAGCAGAAGGGCAGCGCCTCCAAAAAACTTAACTTTGTTGTGTTTAATATTATATTAAATGAACTTGCTGCTCCAGGGACATGTCAGAGGAGACAAATCTGCTTAGCAACAGAAGAAACACTGGTCTACTCTTAAATGGATTTAAACTCGCAGGAGATTTCATGTTGCTTCCTAACTATTGTTAGCTAACAAGGGCTACAGAATATTCTACTACTGAGACAGTCTCATCAATTAGAAAAAAAAGATTCAACTAAAGATTCAACTAAAGATTCAACTAAAAATCAAAGAAAAGAGATTCAAAGAAAAAATCAAAGAAAAAAGATTCAAATAAAAAATTCAAATTAAAAAAGATTCAAATAGAAAAGATTCAAATAAAAAAATTCAAATAAAAGATTTCTGATAAGGACAGAGTTGCACACAATAGCACTTACTATGCATAACTGACATTTTTAAAAGGTTTTATATGAAGTTTACACCATAAGATGATCTTACAGCACTACCATTGAAATGAATGTATTAAATTAATTAACGAGGTTTCTACGGCAGAGTTTTTGGTTGGTCTTTTCCGGGGTGGGTAGGCTTATTACTTTAAGCTTGGAATTACAATTACACGGAGCCGGGGCGCCGCAAGAGCCATG